CTTCCATCCTCTGCTGTTTGCCAGGTTGTAAGCCTGGAGCATGATGGGAAGTGAAGCAGCTGGAACAAGAACCAGTGCACATGTGGGATGCTGCTGATAGCAGGTAGAGGATTAGCTTGCCATGTCACTGTGTGGACCTCAATTTAGCCTTATTATTATTTTTTTAATCTGAGGTCATGTAGCTTTTTGTCTTTTTTTTTAAAAAATATTTATTTATTTTTATTGAAAAGGTGGATTTACAGAGAGGAGGAGAGACAGAGAGGAAGATCTTCTGTCCAATGGTTCATTTTCCAAGTGGCCACAACAACTAGAACTGTGCTGATCCGAAGCCAAGAGCCCAGAGCCTCTTCCAGGTCTCCCATGTGGGTGCAGGGTCCCAAGCCATCCTTGACTGCTTTCCCAGACCACAAACAGGGAGCTGGTTAGGAAGCAGGGCTGCCGGAATTAGAACTGGCACCCACATGGGATCCCAGCGTGTTCAAGGCAAGGACTTTAGGCGCTAGGCTATTGCGTCAGGCCCAACGTGTTTTGTCTTTTTCAAAAAAGCAAAGCAAATGATATATGAAACTATTTGTAGTGTTGGTGAGAAAAGCCGCATGTGCATATTGGTCCTACTTTTGTTAAAAACAAGCCTCCCCATGTCTGTGATACAGAATGTCTGATGATGGTTCCTTTTGTATGTTAACTTGACTTTACCAGAAGATGCCCATATTGAATGCTTCTGGGAGTGTCTCCAAGGGTGTTTTGGGAGGAGGTTGGCATTTGAATTGGTAGAAACCAACCGGGTCGCCCTCCCCTGCCCCACTCTGGTTGCTCATGAATGCATCACCTCATCTGTTGAGGGCTTGAACAGAACACAAAGGCAGTGGAGGAGGAGGAATCCGTCGCTGCCTTGTTCCACCTGCCTGCCTGCATGGACTGGGACGTGGGGCTCTGCTCTGGACTGGAGCCGCACCACAGGCTTTCCTGAGTCTCCAGCCTGGGGATTGTGGGTGCTCTCCATAACCACGTGAGCCAACTCTTCATAACTTAGCCCTGTCTATCTGTCTATCTATCTATCTATCTATCTATCTATCTATCTATCTCCTCTTAGTTTGTTTTTCTGGGGAATACTGACTAAAACATACACAAGAAAGTACACTCATGCGAATGTTAACTAATTCCAGGTGATTCTAAAATTTGAAAAATTTGTCTGGAAATTATTTTGTATAGAGAAAAATCAAGCTCATTATGGGTAAGCTCAAGATTTGTTAAGCATGATTTGCTCTATACTTAAATCTTTTTCTCTACCAAAAAAAAAAAAAAAAAAAAGAGTTGCGGGGCGGAATAGATCTTTCATTTGAGAATAACAGTTGTGGGAAGAAAACTTGAAAAGTGCCAGATTATCATTCTTTATCTTGAGGAAATACCGTTGCGTGTCCTCCTTCCTGCCTCAAAATAAAATGATTGGTCATCAGATATTATTGGTATAATCACTGCAAATCTCATACACTAAAGCAGCACAATCACTTTGAAAAGAGTTTTCCATTTCCTAAAAATTAAACTGAAAGCGATTCAATTATTTGACGGTGTAATGGTTAATTTACTGCTAGTTATTCACTTTAAAAAAAAGAAAAGAAAGTTCATGTCATTTACAAATAGGGATAATTTCAATTCCTCATATCTGATTTGAATTCCTTTAATTTCGTTCTTTATTCTTTTTTTTTTTTTTTTGCTTAATAGCTCTTGTGAGGATTTCCAATACTATATTGAACAGTAACGGTAAAGTGGACATCCTGTCTTGTTCCAGACCTTAGTGGAAAAGCTTCCAATCTTTCCCCATTTAGCATGATGCTGGTGTTGGGTTTTCCATATATTACTCTGATTGTGTTACAGAATGTTCCTTCTATGCCTATCTTGCTTAAGGTTTTCAGCATGAAGTGATGTTGGATTTTATCAAATGCCTTCTCTGCGTCTATTGAGATGACTGTATGATTTCAATGTGTTGATGTGGTGTATCACATTTATTGATTTGCGATCGTTGAACCATCCCTGCATGCCAAGGATGAATCCCACCTGGTACTGGTGAATGATTTGCCTGATGTACTGTTGGATCCTGTTGGCTAGTATTTTGTTAAGGATCTTTACGTCTATGATCATCAAGGATATTGGTCTGTAGCTCTCCTTTTTCTGCTGTGTCTCTATCTGGCTTTGATATTAATGTAATATTGGCTTCATAGAAAGGAAATATTTTCCAATTCTGAAATTCTTTGTTCTGCTTCATTCATTCTATTATTAAGACTTTCCACTGAATTTTCAGGTTGCTCTATTGTTTCCTTCATTTCAAGTAATTTTGCTTTGTTTCATTTTAGTGTTGCTATTTCCTGTGTGACATATTTCTTAAATTCCTTGAACTCAGGTCTGGTGCAGTGGCCTAGTGGGTTAAGTTTTTGCCTTGTAGGTGCCAGGATACCACATGGGCACTGGTTCTAATCCTGGCAGCCCTGCTTCCCATCCAGCTCCCTGCTTGTGGCCTGGGGAAGCCGTCGAGGACAGCCCAAAGCCTTGGGATCCTGCACTTGTGTGGGAGACCTGGAAGAAGTTCCTGGCTCCTGGCTTCTGATCGGCTCACCTCCAACTATAATGTCACTTGGGGAGTGAATTGTCGGATGGAAGATCTTCCTCTCTGTCTCTCCTTCTCTCTGTATATCTGACTTTCCAATAAAAATAAATAAATCTTTAAAAAAATTCCTTGAACTCCTATATGCGTTTCTCACTGCTGTTTAGAAGATTTATAATGAGTTTTCCGAGCTCTCCTTTTTCTCACTGTATTCCTCTCTTAACTCGGAGGACGACAGAAGCTTTTGCTCCTTTGTAGGGGGAGTCATGTTCAATGTGCCACTCTTTCTCTTCTTTTACTTTTGGTCATTGCAATTCTGGTTAGCAGGTTCTTCTTAGGGCAGGTTTCTAAGCTGTGCTACCCACAGGCCCTGGAGGAGGGAGACAAGCTGTCCTAAGTAACTAGGTTGTCAGAGATGCTGATTTTGCCGACACCTAATGGCTGTTAGGTCTGAGGGCCACCTGGACCTGTTTTCGGTGGAACCTATAGAATGCCATGTAGAAACTATTTTCTCTGGGGGACCAGTGAAATGCACTAAGCGGGAAGTGATTTTGCTTCTGGTTTAGTGCTTCTGCAGCTTGCTGCTGTCCTTCCAGTCCCACAGCGTCTGGTCCTGTGAAAATGGCACCTGATTGCTCCTGTTTTAGAGCATGCATAGCTAGGAGCATGCATGCTCCTCTCATCCTCTAAGCCCTTGCCCCCCTATGCAAAATGGTAGCTCATGTGGCGCTGATGAAGATCCGGGGTTGCTGGCTCTCAGAAACCACACAGAGCCACTGTGTGTGCAACCTGCAGTGTGTGAAGCTGGTACTGCTTTCCCTGTGGGATCAGCGCAGTGTGCTGAACTAGAAATGAGCCCACTCTAAGCCATTCCTTTAAATCCATACTCTCTGTCCCACTACACAAGATGGTGCCTGATGGGCACTAGTGGGAGCCTGTGCTGTGAGATCTACCCTGTTCCTGCACTGCCGCTTGGAGTCTGCTATTCCTTCTCTGCTTGTGTTTAGGTCAAGCAAATCAGCAGAATGGGTAGTTCTTCACCTCCAAAGCTCACGGTGAACTCTCATTCTCATCTGGCTGCTGCGGGTGTTCTGTTTGTCACTGGATCTCTGGCTGTCACTGGAGCTCTAATCACTGCTTGCCACCTGCTGCTAAGTTATCTGCTCACTGCAACATTGCCCTGCAGTCGCCACTGCTTCCAGTGTCCAGGGTTCTCCAAGTACCCCTCTGCTGACTGCTTGACTTCTAACCTTTCCTGGACTCTCACTTGTGCTTCACCCTGACTGATGATTCTCTGTGAGTGCAAATTTGTCTGCACCCTATACTGTCATCTTGTCTGTAGATGCTTTAATCTTAAATCTAGTATATTTGGTTTGTAAGACAATTGGTGAATTCAAAGTACAAGATGAATTTTCCTTTAGAACTATTCTCTTGAAGTGAGTATGTTTCTGACACCAAGAAGAGGACTTGTGGCTTGGTGTTGCTGGGCCAGGAAGAGGTCTGAAGATATGAAAATGATTGAACTTGAATTTGAACAAAGATTAGGAGATTACTAGTCTTCATTAGGTAGAAGGAATGCACACAGCAATATATTTTGTGAAGAGGGACTTGAATGTGAAAAGAAGCAGGTTATAGAAGCACCTTGCTTGTGACATCTGAAACCAGTTTGGCAGAATCCTATGTGATTCTACAAAATGTCCTTGGATAGAACAGGTCAGACTTACAATGTGTTGAAGATGGTCTGGAGAGATTTTGTCTTTTGAAAGATCTCAACTGCAGACTCATGGGTAAGGGTTTTGGGAAACTTTTACTTAGCTAACTCAAAAGCTGTTTTATTTCTAGATTGAATGCCTAGAGGTTTCATACACTAATATATCTCTATCTTATCTCTATCAGTCAATCTCTATCTATCTATCTATCTATCTATCTATCTATCTATCTATCCATCTATCTATCTATACTGGATGTCCTCTGCATTTACCTTGACTCATGATTTAATTTATGAGCCCAAATGGGTTACTTTTATGACCTGAAGGTGGCATTAGCTGAATGGACATTAGAATAATAGGAATAAACCAGGATGATCTCATGCAAACCAGAGTCTATGATCAACAGGTCCTGATCCAAATGGACTGGCAGCCCAGGTAGAGAGAATGTGGATTATTCTTCCACACTCTGAGAACTGGGAAGTGGGTATGTTAGACTGGAACGTTCTGTGACCGTGAAGTCCATATTTAGGGATGGAGGTGGGAGTGGACTTGGATTTCCTATCCCCGTGGGTTAAGATGAGAGCTTAAATGCTGATGGCATTCAGCATTCCAGATCATCTTGCAAAGCTGGGTGACACGGATCACTGGGTAAAGACGTTCTGCTGCCTCTTTCTCTTGGGATGTCTGCAAACATGAAGCTGTGCATGGTTTTCATTCTCCTGCTGTTTGAGGTACCCAAAGGTAACTTGTCCAAATGTACCATAATCAGGAAATATCAGTGATCGTAGGAGTGGGGACAGAATCTTTAAGACTGTTGATATCTACCCAACATCACCTGAACTCCCCATTCCTCTGGGGACTGGTGGAATCTGGGTCTTAGAGCAATCAGGGGAGGGAGAGGATTGCGTTCTCACGAGTTTTCCCCAAGGGTAGCAATGAACTCCAAGTCTAAAATTGGCTTCCTAATCCTAACATGGCTTTTTCCAGAGAACCCTCCAAACATTCTTCCTATTCAAATTCACTTGCCACCTGTTGTACAACCCATTGCTTGGGGTCCCACCAATGTGAAGTGAAAAGAGGCCTCCATCCTTGGCCAAGTGTGTGTATTGAGTGGGTTATTCCTTTGGAAGCTCTTTTTTTCTCAATTGTCCATTGTATGTACTCGCTCTGTTTCCTAACCCTTCTACTTGGCATGCGTGGATGTGGATCACCATCTTCATGGTGGTGGTCCTGGCCGTAGGTTCTCTTCCCCTCTCTGCTGCAAGGCAAAAGGCATAGAGCATAGATGTAAATGAGGATTAGAAACAGAGGCTTCTGTGTACTGGCTGAAGGGATGCCAATTTGAATTTTGAGGAGTATGGGTAATTGTGGAATGAGTTTAATTACTGAGTGATGTGTTTCTCTGAGGTCAGGAAGAGAGTGGAGCGTGAGAGGGCAAGAAAGTGCTGGGTTATGGAGAAGTGAGGCTGAATAAAGGCAGGAGTACTTTTCACTTTTTTTAAATTGAAAAGGCAGATTTATGGAAAGAAGGAGAGCCAGAGAGAAAGATCTTCTATCTGTTGGTTCACTCCCCAGATGGCCACAATGGCTAGAGCTGTGCCAATCCAAAGCCAGGAGCCAGGAACTTCTTCCAATCTCCACACAGGTGCAGGAGCCCAAAGCATTGGGCTACACTTTACTGCTTTCCCAGGCCATAAACATGGAATTGGATGTGAAGTGGAGCAGCTGAGGCATGAATTGACACTCCCATGGGATGCCATACTTGGCGATGGAGGATTAGTCAGTTGAACCATGCTTAAATGACCAATGTGCTTAAATGGCACCACTGGCACCACTTTTTGATCTTCCTCTCCTGGAGCACCAGGAAGAAGTTCTTAAAGATGTTTCTTGCTAAGACCCATGAGACAGGAAAGAAAACTGCTGCTGCTAGATCAGTGAATGTAAATTACCTTAATTACCCTGTGAAGTTGAAACAGAATTCTGTCTGTGATGTTCCAAAGTCCTGAGCTGTGCCAGTGGTGACCCGTTAATGCTTTCTGGGGACATGGGACTGAGGTAGGGCTCAGAGGGTGCTGACATTGGAGCAGAGAGAAGAATGTTTGCTTCTCCAGGGCCCTAGGAAATGCTAGGAATTAAACTTGCTCTGCACTTTTGTCCTTTCTGTTCTAATGGTCTCATAGCCAACCGGGCATTAGATTGGCTTTTTTTTTTTTTTTAAGGAAATATTTATTAAAGACAGAAACCTCCTGCTATAGCAGTCAGGGGAGGAGGGGCACTCCAAGAGAGGAAGACCCAAAAAGTGGTGCCAGTGGTGTCATTTAAGCACAGTTGGAGTGAGCAGAGTGAAACTAACAGTCAACAAGGGGGCAGGGACAAAGCCCATCAGAAGTTCAGAATTGCTAACATTGTGTGGCTTGCTGGGAACACAACAAAAAAGCCAACAGAAGGATGTGATGAGTAACTTCTTGAGTTCTCCTTGATCAAACTAGGATTCAGCAGGGTGGGCGGGCCCCTTCTGTCTGGTTAAAAGCACCTCAGGGCAAAGGGACTGGGAGGTTGAAGGTTCTTTCTAGGGGAGTGATTTTCCAGAAAGTTCAGTTTTCTCTTTGTCAGTGAAACACACACTGAAGGAATCGCCCACAGTGGCTCATGACTTTTTGTTCTCAGAAACTTACCTGACTTGGAGCTATTTCTTACCCACAGATGAGGCACGGACCAAGAAGTGTTTTAACAATATATCAGGCTTCTGCAGGAAAAGGTGCCAAATGGGAGAGATTTCTGAAACAGGATGCCTTGGTGGGAAATTATGTTGTGTGAAAGAAGGGGAAAACCAACGGTACCAGGACGCTCACAAGCCGGCATTGCCGAGCAAGGACGAGTCCAGTGGCCCGCAGGACTACGTCGTGCTGCCCACCATCACACTGCTCACCACCCAGCCGTGACTCAGGCCCTCGTCTCTGGGTCTCTCTTGGGTCTGTAAGGGAAGGGCCACCCAAAGCAGTGGCAAGAAATGCATGTACTTTCTCTTGTGAATTTCATCCCCACATAATAAAAGCCAGTGTTGATCCTTGGATTTCTTTACTGATGTACTCATTTATTTAAAACAATTTAAACATTTTATTTATCTTGCTTGAAAGGCAAGGACACACACATACACATTCTTTCCATCTACCTGTTCACTGCTCAAATGAAAAGTAAATGCATTAGGAAAGTGGAAATTCGCCCCTCCGCTTTTTGTGCAAGACAGCATTTCACAGTATTTCAAGTGTTTCTACCCTGCCTTTAAAAAATGAAATCAGTTTCCCATCCTTCTTTTTTTCCTTCCTTCCTTTCTGCCTTTCAAAAAGATTAATCAATTTATTTGAAAGGGTTATAGAGATAGAGGGAGAAGAGAAGGAGAAGAGATTGAGTTCATCCACTGGTTCACTCTGCAGATGTTCTCAGTGGCTGGACCTGGGCTGATCCAACTCCAGGAGCTTCTTCTAGAACTCCCACGTGGGTACAGAAGCCTAAGGATTTGGGCTATCTTTTTGCTTTCCCAGGAACATTAGTAGGGACCTGGATCCAAAGTCGGGCAGCCAGGACTCCATCCAGCACCCTATATGGGCTGCTGGCACTGCAGATAGAGGCTTAACATACTATGCCATGGCACCAGTCCCACTTTTTTCTTTCTAATTCTACTCCACAAGGCTATCTACTATCTATGTGGAATTTTGTGTGTATGAATTGGACACTGATTCAGAAACAAATTGATATAGTTAGTTTTTCTCATGAACTATACATTAGCTACAGACATTCTTAATTTTAATGGATTGCAATTGCCTTGAGTAAGTATATATAACATTTATATTTTGAATAATTTCTTATTAACTGAGAAATTTCTCCCAGAATTTAAATGACAGTTCTGCGTTTTCTAAAATTATAGCCATATTAGATATTGGTGTTGTTAATCATTGATAATGCATTCTAACAAATTTCTTTTCTCTACTACAGATGCTAAATGAGATATTTTCACATAGCCATAACCTCTTTGTTATGATTTCCATGCAATCACTTATGGTGAAGCATAAAAATATTTTATTATGTATCAAAGAAGAGACAATGTTTTCCTTTTTTATTTTACTGTCTTGTTTTTTGTTCATAAAAAATTAATGTATTGGAAATACAACTATGTCCAGCTATGGCAAAAATAAAGAAATGAAAATAGAAAGAGAGCTGGCATTGTCTCTTTCTAGCTCTCTTTCTCTCTGTTCATCTGAATTTCAAATAATAATAAGTACATCTAAAAAAAAACCTTAAGTAGCAGAAGTATCAGATTCCATGAAATTCTGTTTCCTCTGAATGTACCTGTGATGGGTGCTAATTACCCATGCCTGCACTTGACAGTCAGCACCAAGACACAGTGCTTGCAATTCCCTATCCAGAGCTGCCCTGGGCAGCGAGATTTTGTCCAGTGGTGGTCATGAAAGCCCTCATCACATCTAGCGACAATTCTCTTCAGCAGTACCTGTGAGATGACTTCTCAAAGTGAGATTGCTCTGCACAGCTGTTCTGATGGTGAGGAGTGTCCCCCTGCAGTATACACACATACAGGGAAAAACTGGGCCCCAGGAAGACAATGGGTTGCTTCTGGTGGAGTTGGGGATAAGCTACCTCCAGGAGTTCCTGCTTGACTAGCACACTCACACCACCCAGGGGATATTCCTGTGCGAAAGTTCTTTTAAAAATTTCATTACTTTCTTTACATTGAGAAAGACACACACACACACACACACACACACACACACACACACACACACACACAGATTTCCTACCTATAGGTTCGTTTCCCAGAGGTCTGCAGTGGCTAGAGTTGGGCCGGTCTGAAGCCTGGAACTGAAGACTTAATTTAAGTATCCCGTGTCCACCTGCTCCCTACAGACACAAGCTCTAGGTTGGTAACTGGGTGGTTTCCAAGCCCATCATAGAGACTGGTATACAGTTTCAGATTCCAGGCTCAACCGGTGAATTCCAAGCCTGCCCAGAACCAGGCAAGCCTCAGCAGTGCCATCTCTCTGGGTAGGCACCACTACTACCAGGCTTTGTCTTGGGTCCCTGGGTTCGCCATGGCCTCAGCACTGGCCTGGTCTCAGTGGTCTCAGGCTTTGGGTCACCCCAGCAACAGGCTGATGGCTGAAGATCCTGTCATCAACCTGACACCCATAGCTCACCCCTCAGACCAGTCCCTGAGGGACAAAGGTGCCAAACATGCCAAATACACGGCCAGTTTCTACTACCCAGCATCCTCATGCTCCAGCAGCCTGAGTCCAGGTGCATTCTGGGGGATTTCAGTGCCAGAACAATCCCCACCAATCCCTGCTGCTGCAGGACTGGCCTCCCCTGCGGAGCCAGTGCCAAAGCCCAACCCAAAGCCCCAGGACCTATGACATCCCTTGTGGATCTAGCCTCCAGGTAGATTTTCATGGCCCCAGGCCAGCATCTGTGCTTCCAGACTTGTCTAGCCTCTGTGGGCAAAGGTTTCACACTTGTCATAGCACTGGGCCAGCTTCAGTCGCCAAACAGATCTCTGTGGCATCGGGATCCAAGCTTACCCACATGGACTCAGCTCCCAAGCCAGTCCCAGTGTCAGGCCAGGCCTTGTGGATTCAGGCTCTATATCTATCACAGGGAATCTGGGTACCAGGACTGTCCCAGTGCCTAGTCTGCCCTGTTAGATTGGGATTCAAAGATCACTGCAATGTAGGGGTGGCTCCTGTCACTCAGGCTTCAGGCCTGTCCTGGGCATCGGCTTCGGGCCCCAGTCTCTCTTGGAGCGGTTCAGGCTCCAGACTCACACTGGGCCACAGCAGGTGGCCTGCCCAGGGTCTCTGTAAGGACTGATGACTGAAAGGCTTTCCCAGGACTGCCTGCACTGCCTTGCCTGGCCAGCACTGATCCAATTTGTGGTTGAGATGGTCTGATCTCATTTTATGGAGCACAGAACATTGGTCCTAACTACATGAGGAGGCATTGTCCAACAACCTGGCACTCTTGTTTTGAGCAAAAAGGGGAGACGGTCTCTCATGTCACAGTTCTGAGTACAGATTGTCTTTCTCAGGTCTGGGGACGATGACTCTGAATGTGGGCACGATAAAGGGGAAGGAAAGCAACCGGGGTACGGAATGGTAGTGATGTCAGGGGCTTTTGGAAAGAGGGAAGGAGAAGCTGGTTGACCAGATGGAAGAAAGTAAGAGTTGGCACCATTGCAGGAAGGATTTAATTTCTATTTCATTAGAGAGATTCTGTACACCAGTTCCTGGATGTTGGTAGCTTCATGCACTGTTGGCTTCTCACCGGGCACCTGATCATCAGTTCTGACTGTATCGCAAGTTTAGTTCAATAGTCTCTAACTCCCTCTGATGGAATTATTTATTTATGTCTCCTTTACCTTATGCAGCTCTGCCCTACTGAAATCCTACTCATCTTGTGCAGGATTATTCATGAGAGGTCAGGAAATCAGAATTGTCCACGCTTCAGCTTTGAGTGTACCGAGAGCTTCTGGAAGGATTCTGTCTCTTGCTTGTTGTTGTCACTCTGTTCACTCGCATTGCCTTCCTTACTGTCATCTGTTGAAATGCTACATATTGGACCCAATACGATGATTCAACTGGCTAATCCTCCACCTCCAAGCACTGGCATCCCACGTGGGCACTGTTTTGTGTCCCAGCTGCCTCACGTCCAATCCAGCTCTCCTGAATTTCACTCATTTTTTTTTTTCTGGGTTTCTTATTCCACTGGCTCTACAACACAGCTTCTTCCCCACCCCCATCCTGAGCATTGGCTATACCCCCTTTCCAAGGACATTGTCTTTCTCTACTCATTACCTGGCAGATAGTGAGTTGAGTGCTCAAGCTCTGATTAAAGAACAAATGAGTCAGAGAACAAGCAATGAGCTTTATTGGGATCTGTTTCAGGGTCATTCTGAGGCTCAAGAAACCAGAAAGAAGATGGGAATTTTGTCAACCTTAGTTTATTGGGATAGGCTGGAATGTTGCACTTGCTTTATGTGCTAGAATTTGTAGTGGGAATGAGAGCATTTTCCTCTATTGGGTATTCTTCTTGAGAAACAGTATATGAGGGGGTTTTGGGCTTTGGTCTGGGTGGCACTGTGATTATCTTCCGCGCTTTCACATCCTTGATATTCAGGCAACAGTATCTGCCATTTTCGCAAAGGACCTCGCGTATCTCAGTCACCTTGCAGATCTTCCTGCAGTATCCCTGGACGTATTCATCCCAGCATTTCTTCGGTTTCTGTTTTGTTTCTGTACTCAGGAAAAAAAAAAAGCATATCTATCTGTGGGGGGATACTGACTTCTTATTTGTGGGATTGAGGATATCAGGTATCTACAGGGCTCATTTCTCTACGATCCCAAAGAGAATTTTCCAACAAAGTGGACCTCAGGTGTTTAACTGAAGGACTCACACTGTGGCTCTTCCTAGATTTTAGGCCAGCTCCCACCATCAGCTGGACCCTGCCAAGAATATCAGCCTTTGTCTGAGACAACAGAGGAGCTGAATCTTTCACTCTGGGATGTGCAAATGTGCTCCAGTTGGAGCCTCACCCAACAAGTTGGCCTCCATCCTGTCACCAGGGCTGAATTTCCTGACTACCAACTTGCCTCTGATGCCCAGATGGCATTACAGTTTTACTGTGTCTTTAAGATTGGGTCAAGCTATGCTCTTGGGTTCATCATACCCATGCTCACAATCTCAAACGGCTTTTCTTGGAGTGGGTACTGGGCACACTGGTTAAGATGTTGATTGGGATGCCCACATCTCAGCATTCCTGGGGGTTCAGTGCCAGCTCCACTTCTGATTGCAGCTTTCAGCCAATGTGCTCCCTGGGGGTGGGGTGGGCATCACCAGTCTCAAGAACTCAGATCCCTGTCACCTATGTGGGCGAGTCGCCTTGAGTTCTGACTTTCCAGTCTCTATATAGATCATCTCTGGCTGTTGCAGGCATTTGAAGAATAAACCAGCAGGTGGAAGATTCTTTTTCCTCCCACCCCCGTTGATCAAGCAAATAAAAATAAATAATTAAAAAAAGAATTATTTACTTGTTATCTAGTCATGTCTTTTCCCCTTCAGTAATCCTCCTCCCTGCCTATTCCCAACATTGGGCTCTTCTGCCAATGTATAACTTTCTTTGGCTCCTGGGTGTCCTTGTCATTCTGGAAACTGTTTTATCTCTCTGTAACTTCTCACTCTCCCACTACCCCTGGAAGCAAGAATTTCTATAAGGCCAGTCTGTGACTTTTTCTTATCTTATTCTATGTTTTTCCCTCACTGATCCTTAATACTTTCAGCCACCTAAGAATTCAGATGTTCAGTTTTTGGCTTCTGATTTTGTAAGCTATTGCACTAGGCCCCAGAAGATGAAAATCAAAAACAAAGATGATTCTTGGGCCCGGTGTGGTAACTTAGTGGCTAAAGTCTTAGCCTTGCACGTGCCAGGATCCCATATGGGCACTGGTTCTAATCCTGGCGGCCCCATTTCCCATCCAGCTCTCTGCTTGTGGCCTGGGAAAGCAGTCGAGAATGGTTCAAAGCCTTGGGACCCTGCACCTGCGTGGTAGACCCAGAAAGAATCTCTAGGTTCCTGGCTTTGGATTGTCTCAGCTCCAGCTATTGCGGCCACTTGGGGAGTGAATCATCATATGGAAGATCTTCCTTTTTGTCTCTCCTCCTTTCTGTATATCTGCCTTTCCAATAAAAATGGATAAATCTTTCAACAAAGAAAGAAAGATGATCCTTCCAGGCCCAGTGCGATGGCTTAGTGGCTAAAATCTTCAGTTTCATATGGGCATCTGTTCATGTCCTGGCTGCTCCACTTCCCATCCAGTGCCCTGCTTTTGGCCTGGGAAAGCACCAGAGGATGGCTTAAGTTCACAAACATGGGAGACCTAGAAGAAGCTCCTTGCTCTTGGCTTCAGATTGGCTCAGCTCTAGCCATTGTGGCCATTTGGGGAGTGAGCCAGTGGATGGAAGATTTCTCTCTGTCTCTGTCTTCTCTCTGTAAATCTGACTTTTAAATAAATGTATATTTTATAAAAAAGATAGTGGAGAAGGTGAAGGATGAAGGGAGAGATAGATATAGAGATAGAGGGGAGAGATTGTGTGTGTGTGTGTGTGTGTGAGAGAGAGAGAGAGAGAGAGAGAGAGAGAGAGAGAAGTCTTCCATCTACTGATCTACTCCCCAGTTGCCTACAACAATAGGGCTAGAACCAGGATGAAGCCAGAAGCCTGGAACTTCAAGTAGGTCTCACATGTGAGTGGCAGAAACTCAGGTGCTTAGGCCATACTTTGCTGCCATTCCAGGTGCATTCTCAGGAAGTTGAATTGGAAGCAGGATAATTGGGACTTGAATGGACCCTGCAATATGGCATGCAGGTTCCAAGCAGCAGCTTAACTGCCTGTGCTACAGCGCATGTCCCCTTGAGTACTTATATGTAAAAGATACCATCATGACAGAAAGCCTTGGAAAGAGGGAATTCTGATGAATTTGGATAGACGTCAGCTATTCCTAGGTCTCTGTCTTTCCCTGCTTTGGATCAGGAGATTCTCTGGGTTCTTGGAAGTACTCCATCCCATTGCCAATGTGAGTGAGCCCTTAGAAAGCTCTTGGTTACCTGTGGGGTTCTGGAACAGCAGAATTGCAATGATCAGGAAGAGGTTCATAGCCAAAGGCAGTGGCAGCCAAGGCTCTTGGTCCAATGAGCAACACGCTGTGTCGCTTTCTTCAGATACTTGGAGTTTTATGCACTCAACCGCAACAGGTGGCATGATGTGAAGTGTGCCCCCAGACTTCTGAATTATGGGCTTTTCCTCAAGTGGGCGGACACGGGAAATTGGAGGTCACCTGCTTTACCCCCACTGGGAATTCACAGACACAGCATGTACCATTCCATTGCCACTGACGGCATTTCCGAGGTCGCAAACTGCTGGTCAGAAGACTGTGCTGCTGGTAGACATGAGCTCACCTCTTGGGTTGAATAATGCAATTTGAAAACACAAACCCCCAAATCCAACAAGAGGAATTCCTAGAAAAGTAACCAAGTGGTTCTATTTTATGTTTGGGAAGAAAGATATCATTTAGGTAGATCTGATCCAAGTGCTCAAATTTGAAAAGGTTGAAAATTCTTTACAATGAAGCATGGCTTGAGTATAAAGTCTACGCTGTTTAGGCTTCATTCAATGTTCATGTTTATGGGGCCAGGGGAACTTAGGCAAAAGTTGCTTCCTATTTGCATGCGATTTTGTTTGGAGTCTTATTACAATTTTATTCTCTCTTTCAGATATTAACCACTAGAAGACAATAACAACCGAAGTACTAAAACATACTTCATGGATGAGGGATTTTTCTCATGTCTTCCAAAATTTTGACTCATGGATATCATTTGATATACATTCAGTATCAAGCTCATGTTAACACAGGTTGTGTTCATGTATATCCACCAGAGGGATGAGAGGATTAATTTGAAAATATTTATTTCTATTGGAAAGGCAAATTTACAGAGAGAAGGAGAGACAGAGAGAAAGACCTTCCATATGATGATTCACTCTTTAAGTGGTCATAAGGCCAGAGCTGAGCCAATCTGAAGTCAGGAACCAGGAGCTTCTTTTGGGTCTTCCATGCAGATGCAGGGTCCCAAAATTTTGGGCCATCCTCTACTGCTTTCCCAGGCCACAAGCAGGGAGCTGGATGGGAAGTGGAGCAGCCAGGACACGAACTGGTGCATGTGATCCAAGTGCAGTGCTTGTAAAGTGAGGATTTAGCCATTGAGCCATCATGCTGGGCCCAAGAATTCTGCACTAGGGCAGTCATTTGGCCTAGCAGTTAATAATGCCATGTTTAGATGCCTGCATCCCATACTAGAGTGCCTGGTTTTGATTTCTGGCTCTGTTTCCAATTCTAGCTTCCTGCTAACATGCATCCTGGGAGGCAGCAGGGAATGCCTCAGGAACTTGAATTCCTGACCCCTATGCGGGAGACCCAGATGGAGCTGTACTAGATTGTTGGCTTCGATCAATCACCATAAACACTGGGGAGAGTGAACCAGCAGGTGGAAGATCTCAATGTTTGTCTGTGTACTTGTTTCAGTCTCAATTTCTGTCATTCTGACTTTAAAATATAAATAGGTAAATTAAAAAAAGTAATCCAACAACTGTGCTTGGGCAGAAGTCTTTTGGGGGAGGTTCAAGGTTCGGGTGGAGGGCGTGAAGTTCAAGAGAAGCCGAGTTGTAGGATGGTGATTTTGAGGGTGGATTCAGTTGACAGATCTGCTAATTTGTTAAAGGTCCTCCTGGGTTCTGACTTAGGAACACTCTGTTCCCGGGGGAGGTTTGGCTGCAGCCCTCCTTGGCTTTGAGCCTGCCATTTGTAGTAAAATAGATGGACCTGCAAGATAGTATGCTAAGTGAACTTAGGCAGATTCAGAACTAAAAACATCATGAGCTCTCCCTCTTGTGGAATCTAAAAAAAAGGAGCTTAATCTGAATTCAGAATAGTGATGATAGAGGCTGGGGGAATGGGGTGCTCAGAGGGATTTTGGATATCAGATATCAAATTAGTTAGATCGAAGGAGAATATTTCTAGTGTTACTATGGTGTCATGTGGATGCCAGTTCATGTCCCAGCTGCCCTACTTTCTATCCAACTTCCTGTTTGTGGCCTTAGAAAGCAGCAGAGGATGGCCCAAAGCTTTGGGACTCTATACCCATGTGGCAGACCTGGAAGAAGCTGCTGGCTGCTGGCTTCAGATTGGCTCAACTCTAGCCATTGCAGCCATTTGTTGAGTTAACCAGCAGATGGAAGACCTCTCTCTCTGTAAATCTGCCTTTCAAATACAAATTTTAAAAATGTAAAAAAATAAAAGGATAAACAAGATATGGCATAGGTATATAATGCAATACTACTCAGCAATGGAAAGGAGTGAAGTTACATGCTATAAAATGATTTACAATACACCAAACATAAAGAATCAATATTGTTTGAGTCTACTGATGTGAAATAACCTTGAACAGACCAGTTTAGGAAGACAGAAAGGGATTAGCCAGCCACATGGCTGTGGCTGGGAGTATCTGTTCCAGGCCAGGCTTCGTGCTGGGGATCCTAGATCCCCACCTACTGTTGCTAGGCAGGGGGACAGTCCTGGGCTTATCCAAGCCTGAGGTCTGAGAATTTCTTCCCCGCTATGGACAGATCTCGGCCGGCTCTGGCCATGCTCAGAATCATGGCTCTGCCCACTGCTGCCATGTTGATGGACGGAATCCAGGTAAGTCTGAGCAGCAGTGGGCAGTGGTCTGGACCCCCCAGGCTCGTGGCTGTGGCTGTGGCTGTGGCTGGGAGTACCAGTGCCAGGTCAGGGTTCCTGCTGGGGATGCTAGCTCACCATCCACTGCCACCAGGCAGTGGGGGAACCCTGCACTTGTGGGAGGCTAGAGTGACAACAGAGCCAGGCTTGGGCCACTGGCTACCTTGCGTCAAGCTCTGAGGTCTTAGGAGTATGGAATTACTGCCCAGGGACATCCATGGATAAGGCCACTGTACGTGTAGGAGAGGAATTCTGAGAGACACCCAATGACAGGGCCACTGTACTTGCAGGTAAGCGAGGGAACTGAGATCTGGTGGTATGGAGGGGAGAGATTGGAAGATCTTTATGGGTCAGAATGATACACCAGTCCACATGGAAGTCCTGGTTTGGGCTTTTTAGCATTGAATGTGGCTGCCTATCACACACCAGCTCACACACAAGCTAGGGCTAGGGATCTGTCTGGCAAGGCTAGATCTCAGTACCTGACAGTGAGTGTCGGATCAGGGGATGGATCACATTAGATTGGGCCATGATACCAACCAGTACACACGAGAACCAGGTCCGGGGTTGGATTCTGTGGGGGATATAAGGGTCCAATCCTATGGAACTACAAGTCCTGTTGGTTAGCTTGAGAATTGGGATGGTGATGGTCTGAGCTAAGTGTGACCATGGAACTCACCAATGCGCATCAGCAAGTGTGTGAGTTGGTAGTGGAAGAGGGCGGACTGGTGGGACAGAGCAGACCTTAGCCCGCTGGCAACTGCAGAAACCAGACTTGAGTGCAGGTCATGCCAGGCTAGGCTGTCAAAATTACTGGTTTGCATGAACTAAGGATGAGAGCAGACTGAGCAGGGCCAGGTTGCAACACCCACCAGCGAGAGTTGGGAGGTGGGGCCAGATGGCCAGGCCAGGCTACAGCATCCAAAGGCAAAGGCCAAGATAGGGGAGAGGCTATGCCAAGCTGGGTCAGAACAACCACTAGCACATGCGAGATCTGTGGCTGGGATTAGGCCTGGTTGGGGAGCAAAGGGGATGCCTGGCTGGGTTTTGGGTCCCACTGGTGAGTGTGGGGTCAATGTCAGGGCTGTGGTCTGGTCTGGATGTGGATGCAGTCTCCCTTGGCATGGGTGTTGACTGGGTCTGGGGTATGCAAGACTGGAGTAGACTCAGCACCCACTGGAGATTGTGAGAATCAGGGTGGGTGTAGGATGGGCTAGGCTAGGTCTCTGTCCCTGCTGAGTCATGTGTGAGCTTTGTGTGGGTATGGACCAGATTGGTTGGGCTGTAGCACCAACAGTAAGAACCAGAATGGGTGAGGGCAGGTCAGAAAAAGCCATTATTCTGGCTAGAACAGGAGGTGGACTATGTAGGATTGTCCCACGGACCCACTGTGTGAGCAAGATCTGGCATTGGGAGAGGTTCTGATGGAGGAGCTTGGCAACTCCTCTGTCAGGGTACAGTCTCTGCAGGTGAATGCAAGAACCAAGATAGGAAGCAGTCCAGACCAGGCCAAGTAATGGTACCCACTAGCATACATTTGGCATGGATCTGGTCAACAAATGTTGTAGCCCTGCCCAGCCTGGTCTGCCCCCAATCCCAGCTCTCACGCTCACCAGTGGGAATAGTAGCCCAGTAAGGGAGGTCCCTGTAGCCCCACTACCGGGTTCTCCCACTTTCCCCCAGGTCTCACTTGTGCTTAGTCTGGCATGGCCTGCCTCACTTTGTCATTTGCCAGTGGGTGCTGTAGCCTGGCCCAGGCTGGCTCACTCCCAGTTCCAGCTCATACTGATGGGGACTACAGCCTAGCCCAGCCCAGGACCGGTTCATGTCCTGGCTGCTCCATTCCCTATCCAGCTCCCTGCTAACATCTCTTATTTCTTGAACACTTTTCTTCTTCTTCTTCTTCTTTTTTTTTTTTTTAGCTTGACCTAGCTCTGCTTCCAGCTTTCTGATGGTTTCCCCATTGTGACAAGAAGTATCTTCCAATTCTGAGATTCTTTCTTTTGCCTCATTCATTCTATTATTGAGATTTTCCACTGAATTTTAAATTTGCTCTATTGCATCCTTCGTTTCCAATAATTCTGCTTGATTTTGTTTCAGTGTTGCTATTTCCCGTGTAACATAGTCCTTAAATTCCTTAAACTCCTGCTTTATGTGTTTCTCGTTATTGATAAGAAGCTTTACAATGAGCTTTCTGAATTCTGTAGCCCCCATTTTCTCGATGTCTTCCTCAGTTAACTCTGAGGATGGCAAAGACTTTTGCTCCTTTGTGGGGGAGTCTTCAGTAATATTTATTGTGCCTCTGCCTGTTCTTTTGCTCTTGGTCATTATACTTCTGGGTAACAAATTCTTCTCCTTAAGGACA